CCAAAATGCCGATCATTAAAATACACTACAAAATAGAATTGAATAATTCAAAAGCGAGAGAAAGGTGAAGTTTAAGCGACATTTTTAACACTTTCTAAAAAAAATTATTATCAAATTAATTTTTTTTTATTAAATTGGGTTTTCCTTACAAATAGTTTCATTTTCTGTTCACAGTTAATGCGTCTACTGCGTGATCTACCAAATCAAAAGTGTAATTGTTGCTCTTAACCTGCCTCCAAAGCTTTTTATATTGAGCATCTCGGGTCAGTCCGTCACATTACCATTTTCGAAGCACCAGCCTGCTGATTGTTGTCTTTTTCCGCACATTAATAGCTTCAATAAATTAAAACTTTATTCTCACTCGCTGGCTGGCTGACGAGTTGTACCAATAACAAGAATCGACCGCGTGGGTACAACGTCTCAGCCGAGCCAGCGCAACACCTTTTTGTAGTTCAAACTAACTAAAAAATATAGAGTAAATCTAAGTTCTGCTCAATCACAACGCTTATGTGAAAAAATTATTTTAAATTTGGTTTTACACGAAGCAATAAGTACGAACAGGAATTTGCATATAATGCAGCAGTAAAATGTTTTGCACATCTATCTCGTTAACATCTAACAACTTCATCAGTGTTAAAACAAATTCACAAGCTTTTGCGGCCACATATATTCATATATTTTCGATGCTGTTGATTTATGCCTGATCGGTATGTCGTTCTGCACTCGTCTTGACCATCTGCGTAAATGAGATTCGCCTATTTCGGAAGTTGTCATGTTGTTGTCAGTTTTGGCGTTGATGGTTTTGTGTGCTCTTCTTATTGTTGTTGCTGTGAATGCTGTCGATGTTGGCGCTCTATAAACTAAGTCAATGTCAGTTAACGTCAAAGGTTTTGTTTTATTTTTTTCGCTAATATTAAATAATCATGTTATAATTATTTTAGTTTATACTTTATGGTGTTTCTTGAAAACATTGTGCCAATTTTAGTTTTGTCTTAATTTTTATAAATTCTTAGTTTAATATTTTCAAGGGTGCTTTCCATTTTTTTTCATCGAAGCTATAATCCCTCGAAGAGCAATAAAAAGACAAGCGAAAGTTTCGCTGTTTCGAAAGCTATATATATCCTTATGCTAGGTGAAAGCTAATTATGACCGCGACTAAACCAATCGTTTTTTTTTTAATTTTCGATAGATCCCTTTTATGAAAAAAGTTTCATAACAAATCCTCACACGCAAAGCGCACTTTCATTTTTTTTTGAATGAGTCGTTTTTAAATTTTTGAGACCGCCGAATTTGACTTACCTAAGTTATAATTAAAAAAGTGTAGGGACATTTTATTTATGTGCTATTAAGTAAAGCACACCAAGCCCATACAATTAATTGGATAAGTTAATTTTCTTATAGTTAAAATTATTGAATAGGTAAAAACAAGTATAAAACATAGAGTGAGAGAACAAAAGCCTTGCTGATTTGGTAAAGTCTCATTTCCGAAAGCAATAGTATGAAGAAAAAAAGAACTGTATAAGTTCTGTAACATAGGGACATTAGATTAAGGTTCTAAGGTCAGTCGAGTATTGATTGCGGAAGCGGTATCTATTCATATCTGGGAAGCACCATCTGATCATATTTGACTCGGACTGATCCGAAAAAACATACTAGAACAATTGAAATTTAACATAGAGCTTGCTTGAAATTTTGTGTTTCCAATGTAATCTCGCCTACGGAATCGTTGAAAATGTTGCAGCATTGTGTTTTGGAGAGTCGACTTTATAACGAACACAAGTATTTGAGTTCGAAAAAGTATTTAGTGTAAGTCAAGTGATCGAAATCTTGCCTCATGGGAGTCGTCCATAGACCTCTGTTAAGGACATTAGCAACGAATAAGTTAAATAAACGGTACTTAAAAATCGTCGTGTTGACATAAGAGAGATAGCAGAGGATCTCAACATCTCTTATAGATCGACTCAACACATTTTTGAGAATGCTTTGGATATGAAGCGTCTCAATGCTAGTCTCGTATCAAAAAACCTGAATCTTTTGCAAACATGACGTCGAGTGGAGGTCGCAAAAAAGATACTTGAAAATAGCTGAAGGCTCTACATTCATCAGAAGCAGCATTACTGGGTTTACATAAGTTTATGAATATGGTGCCGAGACTGTCCAACAATCTAGCCCATCAACATCTTTTGGTGCAACAGTTCCTTCTGAGCCTTTGTGTTGCTTTCATGACAATTAATTAACGTCGAGTGGGTTGTCAGCTCTATGATGACGAGGCCAAACTCCAGCGTCGCAGCTTTTTATACCTCAAACCGGCCAAAATCTGTCGTCAGATCCTCCTATGTTGTTGACAGGATGCACCGACGCGTCGGTCAGATTGACGGTTGAATAGGAGCGACTTTATAATCGCGTTGCTATACCAGCGTCATCCGAAATCAAAAACACCGAAATTCGCTGAAGGCCATCGCCTATTTTGATAATAAAGTTTTGTAGTAAAATTCGTGAAAATGTTGTATTCTTTGTCAGTCCGGATTATATTTGCTCAGATGGCACTCTATGGTGTTAGAATATAAACAACAAGATCACAGCTGATGCAGTATTTAGGTTAGTTTTGGTTTTTGTAACAAAATATAGATTTTAAAAACTATTGATTTAGTCGCTAAGCTTCATTAAATGAAAATTGTGTACTTACATATACTTGTATATATATATATACCTACATTATATTTTACTAAATATAAAAAACTTTTTTTAATTATTTATTTTTTTGTTATTTTTTTTTTGTGATTATTTTAAGCATATTTTTAATTGACGAAAAGCTTCCGTCATTTATTTCTTTGCTAACTTATATTAAGTTTTATTTTTCGCTATCAAGTTTTGAAGTTTTGAAATGATCACGATTAACAAGAACAAGTGCGGAAGAGAAATCAATATAAGAGTGTTTTGTTTAGAGGTGTGGTTTTCAATGAGGCACTACTTCTTCCGGAATGGGTATTTTTGACAGCTGTTACTTTATATAATATAGATATACTCAGTTTGGCTTACCATTTCATAATGAAAATACTTACTTCGGAACAACAACATACTTACTTCGGAACAACAAAAATGTTGCAAATCGTGTAAATTTATTACCAAAATAATGGTAAAAATGACTTTTTCGTGCCTATATTGGAGGATGTTGTTGTGGACAACCTTTGGTTTCAACAAGACGGCGCTACATGCCATACAGCCAACGAAACAATAAATTTATTGAAGGAAATTGTCGCTTGCTTGAAATAATTTTATTATTTTTATTTATCTTTATAATACAACTAAATTTTTGGCTATTATTCTTGAAAATCACATGTCTCAAAAAAATCACCATTTATTTTTCCATAATGCAAATTTTGAATCGCAGCTTAAAAATATTATATTTATGTGTTTCGTGTTTCTTCCAATTTTTTTTAATCTTCCAATCTATCTCTCACATAATTTTATTTTTCAGAGTTTAATTTAAACTAGTTCTAAATAAAGTTAAAGTAGTATTTTATTAAGCGTGGGTTAATAAGCCGTTGGTGAAATAAATCAGTCAACCAATTTAAATTAAAATAGTCGAAATGGCACAACATTTGAATCCGTATTTGGTCATTTGTGTAGTTAACTATTTTAGCACGTAAATATTCTTTACTTTTTCTTTATTTTCATTTCGATAAACTAGTTACATAATTTATATACATATTTGTATCTATAGAAGTACATTAGAAAATTATAATAATTTTAAATTACAATAAAACCCATAGACATTTTATGATCAAGAATTAATAATTTTTTTATACTTATGAGATGTCAGAAAAAATGCTCGCAAACATTATTCAAAACTATAAACTAAAATTAGCTATTTCTTGTATTACTTACTAATATTATTCATTAAGCTCACCGTTGGTATGTATTATACAAAGCTAATTTGTAGGAAGTAGTTGATTGACCTTTGCCATAAAATTATTTTTCCCACTAAGAAATGTATGTGATGGGAACGCCACGGACTTGACCTTGATGAGCAATTGTATTCAAAGTGATACATTTCACACAGTCACACACGTAATCTGATTACCGTTATTTTAGATCTGCACTCATAACAATCTATATACTTACTTGTACGTACATATGTATATTATAATTTTCGTTAAACTTTCCTTTTCTTTTTCAGGGCATCGCCAGCTGGTGTAAGAAACAATCAATAGATTTGGTTATTGTTGGTCCGGAAGATCCCTTAGCCAATGGGCTGGGTGATGCTCTCAACCAGGCTGGTGTACGTTGTTTTGGTCCCAATAAGAAGGGCGCTCAAATTGAGTCGGACAAAAAGTGGGCCAAGGACTTTATGCTGCGGCATAGCATTCCGACTGCGCGGTACGCGTCTTTTACCGATGTGAATCAGGCTAAGGAGTTTATAAATAGGTGGGTAAAGAAACGATTTAGAATTATAGTTGTGATTAGTAGTGTAAGGCTATTAATATATTACCAAGCTCCATTATTATTCATAGCGATAGAAAAAAATTCTGTGAATCCAAGGAACTCAACTGAGCTGGTATATAACACTTTCAGACTGAGCTTCAATATTAGATCAAACCAATATTTTAATTTCTTCTCAAATCGATATTTATAAAATGTCTCTATTATTAAAGATTTCTGATAACGGGACTAATTGGTTCCCTACACTTCGCACCTTTTAAATAACGCCTATTTTTCTCCTTAAAATGTAGCGCCCCCTACAAAGCGCTCGTGGTGAAAGCTGCCGGTTTGGCCGCCGGCAAAGGTGTCGTGGTTGCAGCAGACACCGTCGAGGCCTGTCAGGCAGTCGATGAGATACTGGGTCAACGCAAATACGGTAATGCTGGTGAAACCGTAGTCATAGAAGAATTACTCGTTGGCGAGGAAGTATCCGTGCTCGCATTTGTTGATACACAATATGCTCAGGCTATGTTGCCCGCACAGGATCACAAGCGGCTGCGCGAAGGTGACGAGGGACCGAATACCGGTGGCATGGGCGCCTATTGCCCCTGTCCATTAATACCGCCCGCCGATCTGGAACGCATTAATAGAGCTATACTGCAGAAAGCTGTAGACGCTTTACGCCAGGAGGGTATACACTATTGTGGTGTACTCTATGCGGGTCTAATGTTGACCGCTGATGGCCCAAAGGTGTTGGAGTTCAATTGTCGTTTTGGTGATCCGGAAACCCAAGTCATATTGCCATTACTCGAGTCTGATTTGTATGCCGTAATGAGCGCTTGCTGTGAGAATCGTCTGAAGGAAGTGCAACTACAGTGGCGTGAGGATGTAAGTGCCGTTGGTGTAGTCATGGCCAGTGCTGGCTATCCAGAGACCTCGACAAAGGGTTGCATTATCGAGGGTACATAATCGTAGTAGTTGCTTCAAAGTATTAAATTATACGAATTTCTCTCTCTTTTCTTATGGGTTTGTCACCAAAATAGGCATGCCACCAAATACGGCTGACGAATTGATCTTTCATAGCGGCGTAGCGATCAACAAGGCCGGTCAGTATCTCACTAATGGTGGACGTGTACTGATAGCGGTAGCGTTGCGAGAAGATTTGCGGCAAGCGGCGGCCGATGCCACCATGATATGTCAAGGAATCACATTTTCGGGCGCTGGCGCACAATTTCGTACCGATATTGCAGAAAAAGCATTCAAAATGTAATTATTTGGCTTTACATATTCCTTACATATATGAAGTGTCAATTTTAATAAATCTTTTGTAAGAAACTTATGCACAAAAAAATCAAACTAATGGTGTATCAATTACTTGGCAGGCTAAAGACGTTCGTTCCGACATTCAAAGCGCTCTCCTACAAGGATAGCGGTGTTGACATAGATGCGGGTGATGATCTGGTGCAACGCATAAAACCGTTGTCTCGCGGTACACAAAGACCCGGTGTTGTGGGCGGTTTGGGCGGATTCGGTGGCTTATTCCGCCTGAATGAGGTGAGCAAAAAAACTTTCAAGCCCATGTAAAAAAACGTTAAATCTTCATTATATTTCCCACACACAGCTTAATTACAAAAATCCTGTGATCTGTGAAGCCATTAATGGGGTGGGCACCAAGATCAAACTCGCACTCGAACATGAAATGTATGAAAGTATCGGCTATGACCTACTCGCTATGTGTGTCAATGATGTGCTAGAGTCGGGCGCAGAACCAGTTGCCTTCTTGGACTACATAGCTTGTGGTAAGCTACAAGTGCCGATTGCTGCACAAATCGTAAAGGGTATTTCCGACGGTTGTCGCGTGGCGGGTTGTGCGCTCTTGGGTGGTGAGACCGCTGAAATGCCCTCAGTCTATGTGGTAGGCAAATATGACATCGCCGGTTATAGCGTGGGCATACTTGAGGCTGGCAAGGAATTGCCAAAATTCCAGCAATATGAGGAGGGGGATTTACTGATATCGTTACCAGCGAATGGGCTGCATTGTGCAGGTTTCCACGCGCTGCTAAAACAACTTGAGATGGCTGATATTGATTTGACCGTTAAGAGCGAATTCGGCGATGAGACTAAAACGCTAGGTAAAATGTTTGAACACTCTTAAAAGACTAATGCTTAGCATGTGCTAGTTTTTACACAGGTCAACAGCTCTGTGAACCCTCCAGAATCTATGTAAAAGAAGTGCTTGCGCTTTTACGCGAATGCGAAGTCAAGGCTATTTCTCATATAACCACGGGTTTGCTGCCAGATGTGCAACGCATTATACCGCCAGACCATGAGATATCTCTAGACTTTGGTGATCTCAAAATTCCACCGATTTATGGCTGGTTAGTAGGCAAGTTACGCTTGAATCCGCAAACACTTTTGGACAATCTGAACTGTGGTATTGGGCTTGTTATGATTGTGCCAAAGAGGTGCACCGTTTGGAAGAGTCTGCTTGGCGCCGGCGCCAAAGTGTTCGGTGTGTTGAAACGTAAAATGCAGTCGTGCCACCAAAAACATCAAATTGAAGTGCGTAACTTTGTAGAGGGTTTGGAGAAAATCGTCGAACGTTTTGGCGGTCTATCCGAAAGAAATACGCGTACTTTGGATGAGCCGCATGAACGTGACTTAGCTTTGGAGCTATGCGATGGCGCTTTGACACAACAGCGCAATGAAACTTTAACCACAAAACTGGGCAGACGTTTGATGAGCGTTCCAAAGACATACAAGGACCCAGTACTGGTGTTGGGCACTGATGGTGTGGGTACTAAAATTAAGATCGCGCAACAAACGGAACGCAATGGCACGGTTGGCATTGACTTGGTCGCGATGTGTGTGAATGACATATTGTGCAATGGCGCTGAACCCTTGACCTTCTCGAGCTATTATGCGTGCGGTGATTTGGTGGAAGAAACGGCAACTACGATAACTGGCGGCGTGATTGAAGGCGCGGCGCAAGCAGGCAGCAGTTTAGTGGGTGAGTACAAGAAGTGCTTCCATATCAAATAGGAATTTCATTTGTTTTATGCTTTAGAGACACATATTGCTGAGGTACCGCTGCTTTATGCATCCGATGTGTACGATCTTGCCGGTTTCTCACTTGGTATTGCTGAATACAGTCGCCTGCTGCCACGCACTGACGAAATACGTTCAGGCGATATACTCATCGGCCTGCCGTCCTCCGGTGTGCATAGCAATGGTTTCAGTCTTGTACATGCCATTATGAAACAAGCTGGAGTTACATTCGAAGACAAAGCGCCTTTCAGTCAACACACTTTCGGCGAAGAATTCCTTACACCCACGCGCATTTATGTCAAAGCACTGCTGCCACTCGTGCAACAGGGTCATATCAAAGCCTTGGCACATATTACCGGCGGCGGTCTAACAGAGAATATACCACGCGTATTACCTAAAAATTTAGCTGTGCAACTGGATGCCAAACAGTGGAACATACCACCCGTCTTTGGTTGGCTTGCCGCGCAGGGTAATGTAGCGCCACAAGAAATGCAACGCACCTACAATTGTGGACTTGGCGTAATTTTAGTGGTTGCACCGAAATATGAACAGTCTGTGTTAGCGGAGTTACAGTATCGTGAGAGCGCGACACGCGTAGGAGTGGTGGTAAAACGCACTAAATCTGAAGCCCCACAGGTTGTGGTCGAAAACTTCCAAGGTTGCTTACAGCGCGCACAGAAATTACAAAAGAAGGCACGTAAACGGGCTGCGGTGCTGATCTCCGGCACAGGCAGTAATCTGCAAGCGCTCATCGACGCTTGTCGCGATACCTCACAAGGTGTGCACGCCGACATCGTCTTGGTAATATCGAATAAAGCGAATGTATTAGGTCTTGAGCGCGCGAAAAAGGCTGGCATACCCTCCGTGGTGGTCTCTCATAAGGAGTACGCAAAACGCGAGGACTTCGATGCGGAAATGAGTAAAAAATTGATGGAGCACAACGTGGATTTAGTGTGTTTGGCTGGATTTATGCGTGTGTTGAGTGAACAGTTTGTACGTCAGTGGAAGGGTCGCTTAGTGAATATACATCCGTCGTTGTTGCCTAAACATCCCGGTTTGAAAGTGCAGCAGAAGGCGCTTGATGCTGGCGATAAGGAGTCTGGCTGTACAGTACACTTTGTGGATGAGGTAAGCGGTATATGCAAATAACTTGTTTTAACTTCATATTTATGGATTTCATTTCACAATTTTTAGGGTGTTGATACCGGTGGCATTATTGTACAAGCTAGCGTGCCTATACTGCCGAACGATACCGAAGAAAGTTTAACAAACCGCATACATGTGGCGGAGCACTTTGCTTTCCCAAAAGCGTTGCAACTGTTGGCCACAGAATCAGTCAAATTGAGTGAGGATGGCAAAGTGATTTTCACCTAATTTTTTTTTTATTTACAATAAACCATTTTTGGGGGTAATAGAAATATTTCTTATAGCCACATTCTACTTCAAATATAAGTTTGGGCAACGTCTACGCACGCCTTGGGATTAGCAACACTGCTTTTCGAACACTGAAATCCGTGAAATCTTCATATATTTACATATGTATACCAGTACAATGAAAAACAACGATAGCATTTATAATAAAAAAATGTAGTTTGTATAATAAAGTTTATGAAACTTGTAAAAATAGGTTAAAATAAAAGCTTAATTAAGAAAATATTATCTATATAATTTATTTCTAATATTCAAACAGTATTAACAAATCACGCTAGCCTTCAGTGGCTTAAAATCACATACACAAACAAACATGTGTGCCTTCATATCCTTCGACAAATTCAAATAAAAATATTTTAATATTATTCAAAAAAGTGAACCAAAAAACGAAAATATGTCGTTTTTTGCAGTATTTCCCGAACTCGGAGGTTCACTCGGTGGTTTCTTCTGTTTTTTGAAGTGCTTGAGTGCTTCTGGATCACTAATCACTTGATCAGATAATTTTTCGATATTTAAGCGGAAAAGTTGATTTTGCAGTATTGGCACAATTAGATTATATTTATCTATATTTTTATTAATATCTTTTACATCATCGTTATAACGCTGTAGAACTGCTCGCCAAGCGCGATTCTCATCTTCATCAAACGGATAGTCACCAAAGAAAGCACGTTCTGCACGCAACTCTTTTTTAAGTTTTTCCACTGCTTCACGTATATCGCGGTGCAGCATAATCCATTCAGGTGTAAAACCGTTATCAAGCAGAATTTTATTCAACTTGTGCGTTGTAAAATCTAAATAAGGATTTTGCGTTTGCGCGCTACTTAAAGGTTTGCCAGCACACTTCAAATTGTCAAAGTCACCTTTTGCCATAGCCTCTTGAATGAGATCCTCACATATACGATCAAAACCGTACTTTGTTTTGATGGCATGATTCTTATAAAATGTGCCTTTTTTCATAATTGTACGTTCACCTGCTTGTGATTTTTCAACACGATGGCTGAGTACACGTTCTTGCGCTTTCATTGCTTTAACTTGCTGGTATTGTTTTTGCCTCTGAAAAGGATTACCTACTCCAATGCCGTCATAACTTAAATATTGACGATGTTGTGGTGCTGTATGTTTTATATCAAATACTTCCTCTTCCTCATCTTCAGAGATATTTCGTCGATTTTTTGCAAATTTTTCTTGCAATATTTTGAATGCTTCATCTACTTCTTGAAAACGTTCAGCGCTTGCTTCTGGTAGGCCAGAGTCGGGATGTACACGCTTTACGAGATCGATATAAGCATTGCGCACAGTGTTCTGGTCAGCTGCTTCATTAACGCCCAAAATACGAAAGCATTTCTGTGTTTAAGAAAAGCTATATATGTACTGATAACTCTTAGTAGTAAAACTTCTAGTTACCTTGTATAGTTCCGTACGCTTTATATGCATTTCTCTAAATTGCAAAGCAGCGGTTCGCCAACATAGGCTTGATAGTAGCGTAATTTGTCTACCTCTCAGCAACATTTTAACAAATGAATTACTTTAATTAATATATGAAAGTAAGCTGTTATTTTTACCACTAATATTGCCGAATTTTACTTACAGGTACCTGTGCTCGTAAACGGAAATATATTTCAATTTCTGTGGATAATAGGCTTTATTTGAATGTTTTTCAAGTGAGCCTTATTAAATTTTGTTTTCACCTAAGCATTTGTTGTTATTTAAGTGACTTCCATCGTTATATTTGACGCAATCAAAACAAAAACAGCTGATTGGCAGTAAGCTACCACTGGGTTGTCTTGGAGACACATGCAAAGGGCACGTAATAAAATAAAATGTAACATAGTTTTAACTAATATTTTATTAATCTGTATAAAACAATATGTATTTTTACTTTTCGACGAAAGAATATAATATTTTTTGTTACATATCAATTACTTAACAAATTTTGTAATTGAGACTTTTCTGATGAGCCACCAACTTTAGACAAGGCAAGATAGCAAAACATATGACTATTTGCTTCCAGTTTGAACTTAGCTTGCGTTTCTTTTTGCACCTTGCTTTTCTTTCATATATCAAGATATTAGTTTGTCTTGCTCTTACATTTGCAAAGCTCATACAAAAATATAAAGGAAAAATCATTTTTGATTTTGAAGTCAGTGGAGGTGAAGGTGCAAAAAGTGTTGAGTGAATATATAGAAAAGAAAATTTTCGTTTGCAAATAATTAAATCAATTTGAACAGTGATATCATAATACAAATAGTAATTGATTTGTGAAATAGAGCGTTAGTGAAAATGTCTGAAAAGAAACGTTCAAGACGCCGTAAGGATGTAAGTGACTATATAAGAAAATGCACACATTTTGTATGAAAGAAGTTGAAAAGCATCCTACATTCAGTTTATTTAGTTATTTTTTCATATGTTTGTCAAACTAAATTTTTGTACCTGCGTATATGAAAAATGAATAGTGGAAAAGTTATTGCGCATATAAAATTGTCATGCTGGCGTGTATATTGCTATTGAATAAGCGAGCAGATTGCCATCATTATGGACATAGAACAAATATATGGAATGTGTTGGTTATTGGCGGCAATACGTAATTATTGAAAATATCCCTTTAAACAATTGTATGGAAAAGAAAATGTATAAGATTTAAATTTTTGTTCTACTCTGCCAGCTGTGTTGTTGTATTAGCGGCTCTAATTATTGTTTTTGTTGCTGGAAAAATATACGAGTGTATGGCAGAAATGAAGCTAGTTGGCACAAGTGCGACATATTGCAGAAGATTGTTTTTGTTTTTCGAGTCATTTGGTATCGCTTAATCTACATATCATATATATGCACGTAAATATGTAAACTTCATTCGAAATAACAAAAAACGTGTTGAAGAACAGCTTGTCGCTTGACAGTAGTGAATGAAAATATATCGCTTTTTCGCTCGCACATATAAGCATATTTTATAATTTGACCCCACATTATTTTCGTTCTCATTTGCATTTAAGTTTTTTTATACAATAATTTGCTGTTTATTTACCTTAGCCATAAATGGATTGCTATTTACTGATTTAATTGGAATTTCCCGAAATAAAATTAGGATTTCAATACTCTCATTGAGGGATAAGATTACGATTATCAGGGTTTGCTGACGTGAACTCTTGAAATATTGAAGATTTTGCAGCCAATATTAATTTTCGCGATAGACTGTGATTACCCGTTTCATTGATAAGCCGCTAAAGTATATTGTATTTCTATTATTGAATTAATGTACTTGAAGTGTTCATAAAATAAGTAAACAAATCTACTTAATTTATTGTAGGTACATTTTCTTTTACAACAAGAAGACACCCACATAAAGTTTTATTACATACATGCGTGAATGCATGGAGGTACATATGTACAGAATTAGAAGCTGGGCCATGTGGGAGATGTTATTTTGTATTTGAGACGTTGTCGAATTGTGGATAGTTTTTCATAGTCTGCTATAAATAGGAAAAAAAAAACCAATAGTGCCAACGTATACACATCTATTTAAAATAAATTGGAACAAGCAGAATTTACAAACTTTTGGAAAAGTTCACGAATACTACCTATTCTATATCAAGCAATTGCAGCAATGTTTTAGACAACTTTTGTGATAGAATGAGAATTATTCAACAGTCATATTTCAATTGTCTCAATTAGAAGCAACAAACAATTAGGCAATTTTATTTCTACATACATATGTACAACAAGATAATTCATATTTAGCGAGTGATTTACAATTGAAAATTTGTGTCCATATTTATTTGCATATGCAATGGAAACTGTTCGTCAGCAACGTTAGTACAACGCATTACATTATATAAAACTGAAAGATTTTATTGGCGATCAAATCAGGATTTAAAATTTAATTTTACTTCGGGCAAATAAAAAGCTTTAACATTTCAATTTTTTAATGCGGAAATTGTTGCAGCACCAGCGTTTAAATTACCCATCATATTTATTTAAATGTTATTTTTGCTATACAGCTGGTTTCTGGCCTCGATTTTAATCAATGTGAGAGTAAATTTCCATTATTGATAAACAACATATTCGGGAATACCAGCTAAAATTTTGGATTTCAAAATACTACAACGTAATGGTTCGGAACGTAATCGAACTATGTATATATTTGACCATATATAAATGTAAGTTACGAGGCTTTCCAACACTATTCCGTAAATATATCAATATTAGTTTGAAATGATTACATATAACTAACCTACTATCACCGCTAATTTGCCGAGGTAACAGATAGAAGAATGTGAGGGTCTCCACGAAATGCTTAAATTTTTCGTATATATATATAGAAACTAGCTTTTACCCGCGGCTTCGCTCGCATCGAATCCATATTTGTGTTATTTCTCTGATTTACGTATTTTATACATTTATGTTTTCTTTCATTTTAATTTTTCGACAAACAATCATTTCTGCCAAACTTTTTTTTTCAATTTCAAAATTTTCAAATTTATTTTCCAAACATATATAATCTTCAAAAATAATTTTTTTAATAATCCGTCAAAAATTTATAAATTTTGTAATAAAAAGTATCCTATGTTCATTCTGACACCGCTAAGAGTATATGTACAAAATTTCATGATGATCTGTTAAGTAGTTTTTGCGTGAAAGCTTAACAAACAAACGGACTTTCGCATTTATAATATTATAGTATAGATTTCGAACAGGTTAACCAATCAAATTTTGTAAGTAATTGTAATTTAAAAAAAAAAAAAATATTAACAGTTTTTACAAAAAAGAGCAAACAATAATACATTACAAGGCATGGTCCAAATGCACAGAAAACTTGCTCACTACAAGTGACGTAGCAAATCAGCTGAAAGAGAATATTAAAAAGTTATATATGCAAAAAAAACCTTACTTAAAGCACATGTAGCAACCAGAAATTTCCAAACTAGTTTTGAGCGTGAGCAAAAATAATATAAAAAAATAAAAGTGAGCTAAAAACCATTTGAGAAAGAGCATAGCAAAGTGGTTATTCAACCAATAGAGATATATTTTATTATATTTAAAAAATAACAGTGATCTTGTTTATAGCGAAATTACGAGTATACATATACTCCTTTAGTAATGCTTTTGCTTTGTAACCAACCGAATTTTAATTGCTTTTTGCTAATAAGACCACCAATTCAAAAGTAGCCAGCTGGAAGAAGTTGGAGTCTCTAGTTTTTATAATTTTTTTTTAAATTTAATTTCAAATTTTCTGGTTATTTTTTTTGTTTGTATAATACAATATATGTATGTATATTCCAAAAATATCTTTCGTTTGATTTCTCTCACATCATAATTCTCAATTGAATAGTTCGTGAACAGCGCTAAGTTCTGCTACAATTGGTATTCACATTTGCACGTTCTCCCCGTATGTATGTATGTATATCGCACTCTTTGCTTTTGAGCTTAGTTTGGCTTAAATTCACTTCACGAATATTTATTTTGCCTCTCAGCTGTTTCTGGTTATTTCAACACTTGTTGCCCGCCGTCTCCCAGAAGATTTCTTAGTTCTCTTCATTGCTATTGTTGTTGTTGTACACTTGTAATTTTTCTGTGTTTTTAATTCTTCTGTGGCTTTTTGTTATGATTACACATCAGTTGGCCCTATGCTGTGATTGTTGTTGCTTTTGTTAGAGGAGAAAGTTGTTCCACTGACTGACTTGCTTGTTGGCTGATTGAATGTCTGACCACTTGCTTGGTGCTCATTGCCGTATTTTCATATAATTCAGTATTGTGTTGAAGTTTTGCGAGCAACGAAGCGACTAGCAACGTGACTTGTCTTCCGCAGAAAAAAAAAATTAAATAAAAATACAAGACAATAAGTAAACGTTTTTTATCGCGCCAAGTTAAAAACAAACAAATATTAATAACAAGCTCCCAAATTTTTTAAAATTATAATTATGGAAGACGAAACACAACACCACGAAGAAGAAGAGGAGCAATATGTCGAAGATGATGGTGATGTTAGTTAATTTTGTAAAAATAATATAATAATATATTACCAAATATTGTGAAATACTCCGTTTGACGTTGCAAATTCCACTTCCAAAACGAATCAACTTTTTTTAAATTTGAATCTTACAACCACAACTTTTTATTGCGTCGTTGCGGAAATACAACTGTTTTTACACGCTTTGAGGATTAATATTTGAGCTACTTTAACTCGTTAACAATTTAAAATCGATATATTTCTACTTTAATTCGTTTGTATGGGCCACGCTTTTTACTTGTTCCCAATTTGTTTGTTCACTTTCGAAAGTTGCTAATAAATGCTTTAAATGCAGAGACGTATGCAAACATTTGCTTGGGTTGGGGTTTGACTAGAAAACAACACGTCACCGAATCGCTACACATCGACAAAAAGTTAAGCTGCCGCCAAAGTGGGGTATTCACAACACCATTTTAGAGATTAGCGCGCCTCACAATGACGTCATATGCAAGAACCGAATATTGAATAACGATATTTTATCTGTATTGATATTCCTTAGAACCTCTCAAAGATCGCTTGTATACGCACACATGCTTACACACACAGCTGATTTTTATTTGTGGCATCAGCTGAGCTTATACTGAACGACTTACACAACTACGACAATTTACAAGAAATGTGTACATACTTATTCATAGTTATCGCCGATGCTTTCATATAAAAGTTGACGTGTGTATTTATGCATACTAAATTAAAATATTCATATTTTCAATAATTGACCAATGTTGCGGTTTGAACAGAAATTGTGCATAACTCATTTTTCTATATAAATTGAATTATTATCATTAAAAATGAAATGTTAAGTATTTTTTTAATTTTTTGTTTTTGAAGAAGCAGCGATATGTTTTGTTAAAACTATTTTACTTTTTCTGGTTGAATGGTATGTAGGTCATTACTTCATATAAAAAATGTTCGGTTATTAATTTTATTTTGTATAATTTTGTTTTACTATGTGAATTATATTATATTTTATTTTAAATATTAAATTTTTAACTTATACATATTTTTTTAACTTATAACAATTATTATTTATAACTTAATTTTATTTTTGTTAATTTTTGTTTTATTTAATTTTTATATATTTTTGTTTTATTTAATTTTTTTATATTATATTTTTTATGTATTTTTTTATATATATCTTTAAAACATTTTTTTAAAATTGTTTTTTGTTTAATTTTTTTGATATTTATTATTTAATTTAGAATATTTTTTATTATAATTTTAATTTTTTTCTTTGTTTTGTAATTCCGATTTTTCTTTGCTTCCCTTTGTGGTTGTCGTTATTTAATTAAATAAAATTTTAGTAGGCATAATCTTACATTATTTTCGCTTGCGTTTTTTTTGTGGTTTCGGCACTTTATTCTTTATTAAACATTTTTCTCACATATTTGCATTTAATTTCTTCCGAGTTATTCATTTAATTTTTCGTTTCTTCATTTGTGTGTGCTTAGTGATAAGTGAATAATTGAGAAATATAAATAAGCATAACCTCAAAATTCTTCAAATCTACGCGTTAAGAATTGGTCATTTATTTGCTTATGCATTTCTTTATTAATCACCAGAAAATCTTTTATTTGCTCCCAAAAACTTACAGGAGTACACAGGTCCTGGCGAACAGGAGGTTGAGAAACCTTCGAAAGAGGAATTCAAGGTCGCCAAATGGATGAAAGCAAACGTCAAATCAAAGAAAACGAAATTCCTCAGCCACAATGTGCAGTATTTCATATCGAATAAAGCGCTAGATGCTTTGCTAAAGTCCAAATTCGCACAAGGCGATGATGCACTCTTCACCACACGTGAACAGGCTATTGAATTTTTGGACGTGATGTTGGAGCATAAATTTTTCCATCGCGCCAAAAAAGTGCCCGTCTCGTTGGAGGAGATGCGCGGCAGTGGGGCAGCTACAGGTAGCAAAACAACGAAAAACAAAAGTGATGAAAAAGAGCAACAGCACAAGAAGAAGGAAAAGGATGAGAAAAAAGATACCGAAGCTGAAGCCGAAGCTAGCGGTGGTGGCAATGGCGTTGGTGATGGTAATATAAGCGCTGGTGCCGGCAGTGGTGGTGGCGGTGCAGTTGAGAAGAAAGAGAAGCGCAAGCGAAAAATACGCTTGGACATGCATCATGAACAGGTTTTTGTAGATGGTTCTGAGCCGTACATTTGGATTTATGACCCCATACCTATACACTATTGGATTTACGGTCTAATCCTATTGCTGGGCGCCATACTGATCTGTTTGTTCCCACTTTGGCCACCACTATTGCGTAAAGGTGTTTACTATTTGTCTGTGGCGGCGGCTGGATTCCTCGTACTCATATTGACTTTGACAGTAATACGGCTGATTGTTTTCACACTCGTATGGCTGGTGACTTATGGAAAATTGCATTTCTGGCTATTGCCGAATTTAACTGAAGACGTGGGATTCTTTGCATCATTTTGGCCGCTCTACGAAGTAAGTAGCGCTACTAAAAAAAAAATAATATAGTTAAAAAAAATATATATAAATATATTTTTACGTTTAAAAAAATACAGAGCAACTATGTTGCTGAGGAAGAAAAATCGAAATCCTCGGAGAAGCGCAACAAGTCCAAATCAAAGAAGAAAGAGAAGGATAGCGATGCCGAAGAAGACACGGCTCCCGAAGCGATACCACTGGAACCGGAGAAGATCGAAGAAGTGAAGGAACATGACGCGGACATCGAGCTACGTCGCCGCAATATAGCTGGCGATAGCACTACATGCGCCGAAGAGGCCGCGAGTAGCAGTGCTGTTGGTGCCGGTGATAACAGCGAGGCGACCGCTGTGTCAGACGTTAAAGGGTGAGCTGTAGCCTTTTTTGGCAGCATTTTGGGTTTGTGCGCAACAGTTTTGGTGTTGAGTGGTGTACGCAGTTAAAGTACGCTTGCGATATTTCATTTAATGTAATTTATTTATGTAAAACATGCTCTCTATATAATTATTATCTTTTTGTCATTAATTTAATTATGTGCATATTTTTATATATATTTTTTTAATTATACTTATTTTTGCATGTCTTTCAATCGTTACATGCGGCTTTAATACATTTTATTTCGGCTATTTCCATTTAAATTTAATTTAAAAAAATTTTATTTTTGATTTTTTAACAAAATACATATAATATTATAATTACATTTTTTATAATAATATATATTACAATGGATAATAATATTATTTTATATTAATTAATTAAATATATTTGAACTAATAATTGGTTGTGGAGAATTAAATTATTAAAGGATTATATATAATTGTATATCTTTTGCTTGGTTTAATGCTTGTAACAAATTGGTGATTAATTGATATTAAAAATTTATTTAATAAATTATATAAAAATGTTTGTGACATAGCATAATGAAATTTGTTTGAGGGAAATCTTTTAGCTTTTAAAATAATTTAGAAAAGGCTAATAGTGCCTTTGCTACAACAAGGTTTGCGAATTTTTTGATTAAAAATTTTTGAATTAAGAATTTTATTTTAAATTTTTGATTCCAATTTCGGTATTGAAAAATAATTGTTTTATTTTTAATTTTAGGATAAGAAATAAATTTTCCATTTTTAATGCCGATTGTGGTATTAAAAAATTAATTTTCCATTTTTAATTCCGATTTTGGTATTAAAAAGTAAATTTTCCTCTTTTAATTAATTTTTATTTAATAGTTACATATAATTATTTAATAAAATAAACCGAAAATTGAAAATTCAATTTGTAATCCCAAACAACTTGGAATAAAAATTGAGAAAATATTTTTTAACTGAAAAATTTGATTTTGATTCAATATAAATAAGACGAAAAAATATGCTTTCCTTTTCAAAAGATATCCGAAATGCTACGCAAACGCGAAAAATTGTAAATTCGAAATAATTTAATTCGCTAATTTTTTAATATTTAGCTATAAGCTTGGGATAATTTTTTATTTATTTTGCAATTCGGTATTTGGTGCTAACATTTTACTTTTAATTTTTAAAAACAAAATTTTGTTTTAATCCCGTATTTGGTCTTAAAAATTTAAAAATAATTTTTAATTAAGTTTTTTGGGATTATAAAAAAAAATTAATTCAAATGTTAATTTAAATATTTTTTAAATGCTTTATTTGCAACCCTGTTTACAACTAAGTGCCTACAAGTCTACCAGAATTCTTAGCAGACCCAATAACAACCGCTACCCAGCTAGACTATTACTAAATAAAAACTAATATGTAATATTTTAAAATTAGTGAAATATTTATTTTCCACCTCTACTTTACATATTTATTGCTTTAATAAATTCCGTAATAAAAAGTCACATGCTTTGTTCTATAAAAAATCGTTTTAATTGGCTTATAAGCGCGTCTAACTTCATTTATACAACAAATTTTTCACATTTGCGCTAGCGTTGTATGAAATATATTTTTATATTATGAATTTAGCGTCTCTATAGATCATTACAGTTGTTTAAAGGTGCAACCATTGGTTTTTTTTTATAAATATTAACCATCACTGACAGCATCGTCATTATTTTCCCAATCAACATTACAAAAGTTTTTTTTTTGTATTTTTGAAACTTCCTTTATCATTTCGTGTTTTAGTTTAAGTTTGAGGTTAGTGTATCAGCAAATTCTAATCTCAAATGTTGGTTGTGTTTCGTTGACTTCTAGCTGTGAAAAATGCTATATAATAAAATTTATATGCTAATTTCATGCTACACTAAAAATTCAGATTACATTTTGTATGGTTCTTTACAAAACAACTCGGAAATTTATTGATTTCTGTTTGCTTTTTCCGCTGCACTGCATCGAATATACTCATAACATATAATAACAGCTCAAAATATCAATATCGCTATCGACTGCACATTATTTAACAAACGTGCTACTGCATTTTAATTTTATTTTTTATTATAGTAACATAAATTTTTAAATTTAAATGGGATAATTTATTGTGGTTGCAACTACTAATGTACTACTGTACATTTCTATCTACATAGATATATATTTATTTATTATTTAATATATTTTCCACTCACCGCGTTTTACACACGCTATTAACATTAAAATTTCATTACGCTGCCGCTAAAACCCAATTTACTGCTTTTTAAATGACATACAATGACCATTCGTACATATGTACATATGTAAATAGGCGTACAAATATATAATAAATAGCAAATAACAGTAAAGCATTGCCTTTATATTCCAGCTCGCCCACTCCATCTGAATCAGATTCGGAAATCTCCGCCAAGGATCAGTTTGAGATCATCAGTTCGAGTGAAGTGCATAATGTTAATTAATGAAAATAATATATACATATATACAAATTTAATGCAATTTACATTTTTACAAATAGACAAAAAATATACACTATTAAGCTGATTAAAAAAAAATATATATATAAATTGAATTATTTTTCGTTTTGCGACAAATGCAGGCACTGAAATAGCAAAAATATATGAAAATATGAGATTTTATTATAATTAATAATCAAAACAAAAACAAAAAAAAAATAAGTATATGCATACACAAATGAAATCTCGGACGCAAAATAGCATTAAAGTTTAGCATATGAAACCAAATAGGTGAATTCAAAATGAAGCTAAAACACAATAGAAATATTGTGTAAGAAAAAATAATTTTAAATGCCATTTGACTTTAAAATGCTAAACGAAACAATGTGAATGCAATAATATTATTGAGTAGAACCGCTAACCATTTGCAAAAAAATTAAATTCAGAAATTAAACTTAAGACTTTTTGGAGAATATAAATTTTATTAAGAGTTTAACATTTTTTTTTATTAAAACTGCTTAACAAAAAAAAAAAATTATTTGTTTTAAATATAAATTTTTGCAAAATATGTTTTGTTTTATATACATTTTTTTTGCAAACAAATTTTTTTTTGAAAAATTTAAATTAGTTTGGGTTGTTTTTTTTTTAAATATATAATTTTTGCACAATAATTTTTTTTATATAAATTATTTGAAACGCAATAGAGATATTTTGTGAGAAATAATAATTTTAAATATTGAGTTTAAAATTTTAAACGAAACAATGTGGATACAATAATATTTTTGAGTTGAACTGTTTACCAATTGCTAAAAAACTGAAAAATAAAACTAAAGACTTGTCTGTGAATATGAAGAGATTTTTTTAAAATTATTTTTTATTTATATTATTTTATTCATGATTGTTTAGAATTAAACTGATTACCATTTCTTAAAAGATATGAAAATTTTTTTTTGGAAACTATTTTTTTTGAGAAATTTATAAATTTATGCAAAAAAATTTTTTTGAAAAGTATAAATATATTTGCATACATATATAAAAACAAATGAATAATATGAATTTTTTTGCAAAACAATTTTAATTATAATAAAAATCAATTTTTTTTGAAAAATATATGTACATATGTAAGTGTATTTGAGAATATGAAAATATACTTGTTTTTTAGAAATATCTTTTTCGCTAAATTTTTTAAAATAGAACAGCTTACAATTTGCTACATTTTCTAATTTGAAAAAATATTTGTATAAATTTTATCTCAAAAAATATTTATTTGTTAAAAAATATAAATTTTTTTTGTGAAATATATTTTTTTGCAAAATAAATTTTTTGGCAGAATAATTTTTTTTTGCAAAATAACTTTTTTAAATATAAATATAAAAAAATAATTTTTTTTGAATAATATAAATATATTTGATATATTAAATTTTTAAAAAAAAATTTTGGAAATACATTTTTAAGAGCACAACTGCTTGTCATTTGTTAAACAAATATTTAAAAAATGTATTTCGTTTTTGAAAAAAGTTATATATTTAAAGATACATTTTTATATAGTTTTTTTTTCTCTGAGAAATATAAATTTGTTTTTGCAAATAATTTTTTTTAATTAAAATTTGGTTTGCAAATAATTTTTATTTTTGAAAAATATTTTTTGTTCTTAAATATAAGTTTTTTTTTTGAAAAGTGTATATATATTGGAAAATATTTTTTGTGAGCGAAATAAAGCATTTGTATTAAAAAAAAAATCGACACATATTGCATGCACTTAAAAAATTTATTGCATTTGAAAAAAAAAACACTTAAAAAGCATTAAACAAAACTAATTTCATTTGAAAACCTAATGCTGCTAAAAATTTTACAAAACTATAAATGTAAAATAAATAATTAAATTAAGCAATTGGTCGTAGTTTGAAGCAAATACACTAACGATTCCCTGCAAAACAGGCAGTCTAAATTTTATATAAAACAAAAAAAAACCATTAAAAAAAAAATATTTTAAACTAAAAACAAAAACAGCAGCTAATAAAGAGCTTGCTAATAATCTTTAGTAGAGGAGAATTCCAGTAGGTTAAAAATTATCATTTAATTTTTCTTTGTTATAATTTTGCAACATTTTTTGTTTGAAATTTTTTTTTGAGATTTATTGACATTTTGAAATTTCAATTAATTATTTTAAAATTTACAATTTATTATGCATTATATTATAATAAAATTTAAGTATACGCAATTGATATCTCAAACAATTTTTTCTTCTTTAGGGTGATAATATTTTTATTAGTTCACTTGAGCAGCTTTCAAGCAGCGTATAACAATTAATAACTTTAATAAAAAAAAAAAACCGAAAAATATATGTATACAAGCACCTATATATACATTAAATTACCTATATATGTATACAAAATAATATATAACTAAACATATACATTTAGTATACATAGCATATGTTACAACCTAATAAATAGTAGTGTAAAACATTGAATTATTTTAATTTACATAGCAGAAATACAAAAACAACCGAATTAGAATAGCGCTAATAAAAAAGATCAATCTATTTCTATGAACTATTTTCAAAGCAACAACAAAGAGGAATAACGAAATCAAGAGCCGTTTGATTAAGAAGAAGCATGGATGACAAGAATATGTATTATGATTCGTAATAAAGAAAATTACATTATTGTATAAAAATGTACAAGAAGTGTTTTTAATTGCTGAATATACTTGCAAGATAAACTTATCTTTTGAGATATAGTTTAGGTACTAAAATTAGTTGTGAAATGTATGTATATTCAGTTAGGTTCCTGCATTTACTTTCGTTAACATTTTTCGAAATCGAAGTGGATCGGTTTTGGATTAGCATATATAATAATATATATAATCTTTTCCAATCCAAAACCGTAAAATTTGTTCGAAAACAAATTCAGAAAATTCTGATTAATTTTTTTTCTAATTTTTAAATATTTTAAGCTTCAGAAGAAAATACTATTATCACACAGGGTTACAAATAATGCATTACTACTTCTTTCAGCATCGAAATAGTTATTTTCTAATCCAAAAAAGTTTTTTGGTATTAAAATCGAGTGCATCAGCTTCTTCTCCTGCGAAAAATTGTTTCGAAAGCCAATTCAGAAAATTCGGATTTGAATTATTTTTTAATATTCTTTTATCCTTCGATTGCAAATAATGCATTAAAAATAATTTCCTTAAGATTTAAATTATTGTTTCTTTTTTTGTTTTGTAATCCCGAAAACAACAAAAATTTTAAATTTATAATCCCAAACACCTTATTGAAAAAGGAAGAAAAAAAAATAATTTCAAATACCGGATTGAAAAATTAAAAAAAAAATTATTCCAAGTACCGGATTGAAAAAAAATGTTATGGTCGTGTTTTACGATTTTGAACTAGAGCTGGTACAGAAAAATCAAACTAGCAAACTTACACAATTAAACGATTTATATTTCATCAATTTTGAATTCTAATTTTACGACTAAAAATTAAATTTTCAAAATTAATTATTAATTATGATAAATTAAATATTCAATTTTTAAATTCAATTAAATTTTTACTTTGCATTTTTAATTGCAAAATCGGAGTGAAAAAATTTAAAATCTTTTTTATCCAAAATGTATATATTTTAAATATTAAGTAAAATATTTTAAATTAAATATTTAAAATTTAATTTTTATTTGCAAAATCGGAATTAAAAATTTTGCTACTCTGGTCCCAATACAGTTCACGGTATTGCTTACGGTATCCACCGAAGCGATATTCGGATAAAGACGCTCGCTTCAGCACTGTTTCTTCGTATGTTATAGTTAATCACCTTACTGTATTCAACAGTAAAGATAATACACTGATTTATATATTCATGCTACCTTTAAATTTTATCCATTCGAAATTAATACAAACCTAACTTAACTTATTTAAAAAAAAGTTATTTATAGTACAACATTTTTTTTCATAATCTTTATATAATTTCTTGATATATAATATATATTTCTTTGTATCTATTCTTTATATACTTCCAAGTTTACTATAATTCATATATTTTTGACACTAAATTATTTTAATTTTTTAATTTCAGAATTGTGTGTGTTTTGGTTAGTAAATAATTTTGTGAAGTGTTTTCGTTCGTTATACCATAGTGCAGTAAAATTTATCTAAATTCGCGGTCGCGTAAAAAGTGTTTATTTTTCATATTTTTAATAAATTATTAAATATGTTTATAGTGTTGCTCTAAGGCAAATTTCGAAAATGAGAGTAAAAAATACCGGATTTTCGGGTATAAGGTAATTCTTTTATTTATTGTTATGTATTATTAAAATTCATTATTCAAAACTATATTTTTGTGCAAACTAAAAATCAAACTTTGAAAGTGTGTGTTTATAGAAACCATCTTTACAGCAGTAAATACATAATTTTGCACAAAAACGTTGTGAAGAAACTTTTAGTTCCAATAAAAATCTTTAGGCAATTGTTAAGAAATTATAACTCTTATATTGATGACGTCACAGTCCTGCTTTTACCTATCAAATGCGCTCTAAAATTGCAACGAAAGAAATACTGTCATACTTTTTATTCTAATTCCCGTAAATTTTAAGAGTTTTTAAACTCACATTCAGAATGCTTGATTATTTTCCGCACAATTTACAATTCGTCCTTGAAGTACTGCTCCACATTTTGCTGATCCATAAAGCGGTTGAGATGCCCAATGATTTTGTGTGGAAATATGAACGTAATAATCATAAAGAAACCAGCAAACTGAAATAAGTTTGTAAATAAAAATATTACAAAAATAGTTTAAAAAAAATATATAAACATCTGTCGAAATTTAGGTTAGGTTAGTACCTCAATTGAGTTAGCACCTTCTCAGATTGTAATTTTGTATAAATACCAAAACAATAACGAAAACAATGGAGTAGCTTTTAAAATTCTTTAATTTTTCTCGTTTGTTTGATAAGTCAAGATATCGGATTTTATACTCTGTGCAAGATATATTAAGTATGAGGGAATCGGATATCCTTATAAATAAATGTCTGTATATATGCAAACTAGTCCCTCAGTTTTTGAGATATCGTTTTGAAATTTTGCACACGTCCATTTTACCTCAACGCGCTGCTCATTTGTCGGAACCGCCGATATCGGTCCCCTACAGGAAATAGCTGCCGTACAAACTGACTAAATAAATTCAAGTGCTTGTATGGAAAACTTTTTTGTTTGAAGAGATATCTTCACGAAATTTGGTACAAATTATTTTTCCAAATATATTGTTCAGATCGGACCACTGTAGCAGCTACTAGCCACACAAACTGACCGATCAAAATCAAGATAAAGAACTTTTTATCACCTTTTATGCTATAAGAAATATACCTGTGAAGGGTGTTATAGCTGCAGTGCAGTCGAAGTTCACGTTTTTTCTTGTTTATTTATAATTTGCAAAAAAAAAAACAAAATTAATTTAAAAAATCTCACTATTTTTAACTCACCACAATCAGCGCTTTTGCCAACCAATAGATGCACCAGAAAATTATGCTGCTCAGTGTAGCGAGAAATGCCGATACAGGATTGTTAAATAAATTCTGTGCTCTCACATTTTTTAGCTCATCATTGTAATGCACCTCATCGCTGCACACATCTACACTCTCATTCTCAAATTCCACCAATTTGCTGCATTTCCGTCGCCTACTCATAACTTCTGCTACGTTAACTGACTGTATTGGTTCAATACAGTAGAATTTTAATTGCAGCTCGTGTTGTTTAATTGAGTGGCTAAAAATAAAAGTTGAATTGAAAATTGATATGTAAAAATAACCCTCATGTAGGTAGGTGTTATTTAAAATATTAATGCGAATCCGGCAAGTAGTTGATTTTGAGTGCCACTAAATAATTAATGGCAATAATGTGGTGGAGAGCGTTGTGAAATTCTTCCCTTTAAGTGATAAATAGGTATTTTTAACTTTACTCAATAACCATTTTAAAAACTTCACATATTTTAGTTAATCGTTATTTTTGTATTTTTCTTAAGTGTACTTCATAATGTGAATAATGGTCTTCAACTTGCTAACTATTTTACAATCCTTTCAAATTTAATTAAACAATTTTCAGGACTTCAGATCTACACATGATCGACATTCCGTTCCAAACACTCGTGTGTTGTTAACCGGAACGAAAACGTACTTATATCCCGCAAAGGTTCAGTAGCAACGAAATTAACCTCGAACATCTTAACCGTAAATCAGGTTTGAAATAAAGCAAACTCGAAGATCAAGATTATTCCCAACTTTGAAATCTTGATTTTCAATGAAGCTTTCACTATACTGGGTTTAAAAAATAAATAAGATATACAAGTATATTATTTAGGCATATCCCACGTTTTTATAGTTCTATTTTACTACAACTATCTAGTATTGTAACTATCAATATTTCTAAGAAGTTTGGAACAAAAAGTTTTGAAATTCCTACTATAGATCCCTTAGTTTATATGAACCCGATCTAGTTCAAGATCTCTAAATGAACATCAATTGAATGGTTAAGTAAGATGTTTCGAGATGTAGAGAGATGCTTGTTTTTACGAGTGTAGTCCGCTAAGTACTTGGCCGTGAAAAGAAAAACGAAAATTTTGGAAAAATGGCAAAATATATCTCAAGAAAGCCTCCTTGTGTATCGAGCTACACTTGAAAATCAATGCTACAACTTTTTTAACGCGTTTTAATAATTTTCATAATTTCTGGCGGTTCGGAAAATATGTCTCCGTGTTGACGATAATCTTCTCATTCGACACAAATTTTCGCCAGGAAGCAAAAGGAAGTCGAACCACACGTCCAGTTTGGCCATGATGACGACGGAAATATAAACCAATGTCGTGTTAGAAAAGCACTGTTTTCTTTGTCGTCTAATAGTTTTGCCCTTCTCCAGGTAGTCGACAGGTGCGTCACCTTGAGAATCCAGAAAACGGTGGTCGAAACCTTTCCGATAATAGATAATAGTTTTCGCATTGTCCGGAGCAGATTCGGCGTATGAAGTTCACTATTTCAACTGTTCCTTGATCTCTAGTGTGTACCGGTAGATCTATGCTACGTCGACGGTCACGACAGGACGTAAAAAATTTTTCGGATTGCGCTTAACAGATTTCTACTGCTCAATATTTCAAGCATGACCCAGTCATTCTTTTGAAATTTTTACTATCTTAGCTATTTCGCGATATCAGCGATCTGCCAATACGAAATCATGTACTTTTGTCACATTACACTCCGTGGTAGCCGTTTTCGGCTCACCTAGATGTGGCTCAACAAATTCCGACTTCTGACCCTGTTGAAGCTCGTTAAACCAATTTTTAACGATCGTCATCGAATGATAAAAGTCGGTAAAAATGCTTTTGTTCCGATTCTTCTGAAATTTTTTGGCTGTAGCCGTCTACAAGAATGTACTACACGATAGTCTTATGATAGTGGCGCCATCGATTCGGTGAGGCTAGGTAATTATTGGAACCCACTTGGGCGCATATATACTAGGCGAGTATATGTATATGTCGCTTTTATTTCCTCTTGTCTATCATACTTCCGCTTGCCGCTTACGAAATTGAAACTAAATGGTTTCGCCAGAGAAAAACCGCAATTGTGGTTAAACCAGTTTTTTATGGTCTCAATTTGAGGCTTTCAAGCTTTTTAGATGCTTTTGCATGTAGGAGCATAGAAATCTTCAAACAAAGCCTCAACCAAGTCAATTTCAGTGCACTTGACCGCACAATTGGCGTTTTTTTTTTAATTCTTAATAGTCCATTATATATGTACATATGTGTGCAAGTTATATTTGTTACATTTATAATATGAACACATCTTAAACCACAAAAAACATTTTCACAAATAAATTCCTTACACCAACTTCACCTTCGTAGTTCCATTAACTAACCTCAGGGTTTCCTTTCGTTTGGCGTTTTAAGGCGCGCACTAGCTTACTGCTGTTAGTTTATATATATATGTATATGGGTGTGTTTGTGCATTCACTTTCATCCGAGCACACGCACTGAATCGCAGTGTTGGCATTCTGCGGTTGCATGTATGCTTTGCATGGCATACACTTAGGCGCACATAACGTTTCAGCGCTTGTATGGCGCTAGCAGTTATTGAAACACAAACACACACACATACATATGCATATACATATAAGGGATTCGTGTGGTAAAAACAGCATGGGTGTATTTCCTTTCATACACACACAAACATTTATATATAAACACAGTGTGGCATGCTGCTAGCATGCTTTGGCCTAGCGTTGACCATTGATTGCATTCAACTGCATACCCATTAAATTTTGCATAACCACACACACACACATACATACATACATACGCGTATATGCTTGTGTGGGTGACTTAATTCATTTGTTGGCTTCGTCATATGTGTTTGATTTTCTACTTAAAGCTAAAAATACATAGTTGTGTGTGTGTATGCGCGCGCTCGCTCGGCGCATTTAGTTGCATTTTGTGGTTTTAAGTGAATTTTCATGTTTGCACAAATTGCATTCATGTTTTTGCATTTACAGTTAGCAAGTTGAGGTTAGATAACATAGTTGGCGCATAAAACATATGTATGTAACATATGTGTGTATGTATGTCTGTATTTAAAATAGCGTTCATAAGTATGTGTGAAAGCAAAAATACAATCTGTGGCAGCCGCTTGTAACCGACAAATATGGTGAATACAATTAAATCACACATACTTTGCTTTTTGTAATCATACAGCACAACAAACACACATACATATGCAATGTGCTAGTTTTATGTGAATATATTTGTGTGTATGCTTATCAAAATTGGCTGCAATTTAACACACATACATTCAAAGTTATTAAGTGCTAATATTTGCAGAGAATTTCGACATAAAAGGCGCCTTGGCGCAGTTCCTTCCTGTTCATTGCTTGCATTCATGAAATAATCGCACATATTGACTTAGCAATACTTTTAAAAATCATAATTATTTAGAGTGTGAGATATTTTTACAACTTTTATTCTTGAAAACAATGTCAATCATTCAAACGGCTCCAATTAGCAATTAGATAACTGCTTTCTCTTCCAATTCTTTTAATACTAATGACAAGCCCCAAAAAGTACTTTTGTTCTACTAGGCAAAATTTTGGGGTCATAATTATAAAAACGGTACTTGAAATTTTTTGGAATAAATTTCAGGTTCTATTTACAATACAAGTATATACTTGTAAAACACATGCGTCGATTTATGTTAAATATGTACCGTTTTGTTCGACAACGTGCTGCCATTTTGAAGGTATTTTCATAATGCCACTTTCATAGAATCTCTTGTACAGTCGATTTTTACAAGCTTTCCTAGAGGAGAAGTCATTCGTCATATGCGGAAACAGGTAGCAATCACTTGGTGCCTGATATCGACTATAAGCTGGATTCAATCTCTCAACCATGATCTCGGAGCGAGTCACTATCGATGTGTGTGGCCTGTTGTTGTCCTGATGAAACAAAACTCCTCTCTTATTGGCTAAAGTTGGCCGCTACTGGGCACTTGCTTTCTTCAGACGTTCTAATTGGTGACAGATCAGTTCTGTATTGAGAGTTTGACCGTAGGCGTGTAGTTCATAGTAGATGATTCTCTACCAATCCCACCAAACGTATAGCAAAACCTTTGGAAATTCGTCCATACATCGAGCTTCTTTTTATATCCAGCCTTATTTAAATGGTTGAAAGCCTCATAACGCTCGGCAATTTATGGTCTATCCTTAAACTCAAAACTATGGGAACGAAATGGACGAATTTAAAATTGTGCGTCTGGCTTCGGTTTTCGCCTTTGTCGAAGAAATACTGTAAAATATGGCGTTTTTTCTCTTTGCCAGCGTCCATATTTGAGACGTGCTCAAACAATACTGAGTAAAGCAATTACAAAACTGTCTGAAAGGTTGTTTTTGTATGAAATCTTATCTTTATAACGCCATATAGTAAAACCCAATCGCACTTATGCAACGCCTGATATAGCTTACTAAAGCCATTAATTGGCAACATAATGGATTGCTTTTTACTGAAACTTATACTAATGTTTTCTTGTGAGAGAAATAGTTTCAAATAAAGTTATCGACATTTTTGAATATATGCAACTCAGTAATTACGGCAGATATCTCTTAGAATTACCATGGCTTCCTCAAACCTCTGGAAAAACTAATATTACTTCAAGCTCTTTACTACTAACCAACCAACTTTATATAGAATTTAAGCTAATGTTTCAGTGGTCTATGCAATAATCGAATTAGCAAATTTGTTGGCAACGGAGTTTTAATTGAAATATTTGTTGATCTCACTCTGAAATATTTTTGAATCTGCTCGTTTATGAAGGCAGTTTTTAAGGTGTTTAAAAAGGTTTTTAGCACGAACTAGTAGTAAAGGCTCATGAGCTAGTAGTATCTTGCTTTGGTAATAAAGATACAGGTCTCGGAGACAGATACATATGCATTAAAGGGACAAAGTTCGTTCAATAATAACTGCTACGGGACCAGTGCACTCTTCAATCCAGTATTAAGTGCTGCAGCCATTGATATTTCAAAACTCTATTTAATTTGGTTGGATAAACTCTCACAGCTATCATCAAACTCGTTTAAAAAAAGTTAAACTTATAGTTTGATATGCAAGTTAGTCTCCATATACTATACCTAAGCTTCGGTAGCACATTTTACTTTAGACTTTCTGTTTTTATTATAATTAAAATTTCTACTCAACAACGGCAAGCTACTCTTACCATGGTGCATTCGC